ACTTTGTGGTTTTTCTAAAAAAAAATACAACAAATTAAATCAAAATATATTGTTTTAAATCTGGAGTTCCATCTCAGGTTTTGCCTTGTCACTTGTGGACTGGCTTCTTAAGACATAAGAGTGCGCCCAATCCGCTGCCGTCTTCTTGTCTTGATCTCAAGCTACTGCGTTGGTGGTTATTTGGTTCCCCTCCGTATTGCTAGTCATGATAGACTCCATAAAACACTTCTCATGGTGTTAGGCAGGTGGATTTTTATGATCTTTTTTAGGCAACCTTAGATGAACGATTGTACTTTGTTTACTATCTGCTTTGTTAGCACTGAAAATCTCAATTGTTCTATTTGCCGTGATGTTTCCTGATCTCCAAACAGATTTCACGTCATCTGGAGCTGGGAAAGAGTAAGACAAACTGAAACAACAGAGGGACAGAAAAGAAGTTGGACTGACTAGTAGCACCCTTCAACCACTTGCAACAGAAAAAACAGAAAGCCACGAACAACAAAAGAATAGAACAGAAGAAGCGTCCCAGGCGCGGTTCGTCCATAGAGCACGGTCGTGCAGTGCCGCCCAATTTTTTTTTATTGTTCTTTTACACAAAGCACCAACAATAATAAAATAAAAGACGCCGGAAACAAACACTAGTCAAATATTATATCAAAACAAGGGCATTGCTGGCTCTGTAACTGTCATTTCTGTGTCTACAGTGCCGTAAACCATTTACATGCACTATGCCATGCCAAAGCCTACGCGCTCTAACTTAAACGTAATAGGAGATTCAACAGTGGTAACCTGACCTATAAATCGCTCTTTGGGATAACCCAAGCGATGACGACACTCGAAGCGAGTTTAGCGGTACAATAATATTAATAAATCGGCACATCCCAAATGTGCTCCTGCCGAATAGAGCCGAAACATAGCCCACAGTAGGCAGTCTAAACTAAAAATAAACGCCAAACACTGCACACTATTCTATGCCAAAATTATGTGAGCCCCGGAACAATCCAGCAGAGTGCTCAAGTGAATTCTGATTGGTTCATTGTCTTGCCACTAGGCTATTTTAAGTGACCCTGTGACCGTGAACCTGAGGGAGGTGAACGTAACATACTCAAGTCACCGTCCTATGATTTGTGTCTTTGAATGGTTTTGTTGTGGAGTGGTGAAAGTTATTACTTGAGTGTTCAGTTCTAATGCAGGATGTTTAGCTAACAAAGAGATTTAGTTCTAGAAATCAAAGCGACAAGTGAAAGGAATGAAAATAAATGCACGAGCTCGTCCCTCACCAACCCAAAGATCCTAAAACTATACACCATCCCATTTACTATGCCCTTGACTATCTTCAGCCTGTGATAGCTTTATTAATTGTGCACGCCCACTTTTTTGCCACACGAGCCGCCCCTGAAGCGCCCACTAAATAAGGAATTTTAGATCTCTAAAATGGGCACTCTAGGCTGTATAATTAAAACTGCTTAATCCCTTCACCTCCAGGCTCGAGAACTGAATTATGGAGCAGGTCTTGGAGTAAAAGAGCATTCTGGCTTTTCACAAAACTTAATTTATAGACATTTAAATGAATTGTAGGCTACTTTTTACTTTGATTTTAGATGTTTCGTAACGTCGCTGTCTCTTTTCAAACGACAGCCCAATCACCATCGACACTAAATTGGTTTTATTATGAAAGCGAAAGTGAGCTGATCTCGCAGAGACGACCTCTATGTTTGGAAAACCCTGCCCCGCCCATCACTCACTCTAACCACTATTTTAAAAATGTCCTCAGCCACTCGAGGGATGGGGGAATGATTGGGGGTGGAGGGAGAAGATGGATGAACGGTGGAGAGTGGGGGGGGGGGATGAAGGACGAGAATGGAAGGAGGACGAGAGACAAGAAAGGAGGGGGGTATTGGTGGGGTTGGGAGGGTGTAACTCCGCCCCACCCCCACCCCTTCTTTCCACATACACACAACGGAAACCAAACCATAAAGAAACATTAATTCTAGTTTTAGTAAGTGTTTTACAGCACTTGTAACAAAATAAGGTCATATAAGGATCAAAGATTAGAGGTGTTACAAGAGAGTAACAAACACAAAAAAGAAGGAGGGGAGATAAAGACTATAGACGTTTAATACGAAAGAAGAAGCAAATCACACCAGAGCACCAGCCAACCACCCACTTATAAAGAAATATGTGCTTTTTCGACAACCTAAACTGAGATTTATGAGACACAGGAATTCCCCTCTCTTCACAGTTCAATCAGTAGGGGTCAATAATATAAAACAGATATATTGTAGTCAAAAACATTTGGTTCGACATTGGGACTGAATATTGGTAATTTTTCACAAAAACGTGATCGAGGGCAACAGTCAAGTGCCTAGCATATTGGCATTATGTGCCAGAAATGTTGACGTATCAGGTGTAGTAGATTGGTACATTTTGGTTGTGTATATAAAGATGCCAGTGTACTGGGGAAATGCATTTTGTTTGTGACAATATTGTTTTCTCTTACTTAAAACTTTTTTTTATTTGTTTATTTATTTATGGCTTGTTCGGGGTTTGTTTTTGCTGATAGCATTATGCATCAATTATTTTCAAGTAGCTAAACAGATTTGCTTTCAGAAATCCTGCCAAGGGTCCCTTTTTTTCCTTCGACGTTTTTAAATTAATTGTATACTCAGTCTGGAGTAAATTCATGTATTGAACTCTTTGAGTATCAGGATCTATATAGATGATGTCTGAATTGCCCCTTTGTACAGACAATTTTATAAATATCATAAGTACGATCAGCAAAAGTTGACGAGCTCATTAATATTTAGGATCATTCATTTATATAGACTTGAACAGTGGGTGGTTGGCGGGTCTTCTGGAGTGGTCAGCTCCTTCTTTTCTATCAAACATCTATCATCCTATTCCTCCAATTGTTTTGTGTCTGTTACTCTCTTGTGACATCTTCGGCACTTATATGACCTGATACACATTGTTGTGAGTGCCGTAAAACTATCATTACAATATTCACTGTTACAGTTTCCTTTGTCCGTTTTCCTTGATAAAAAAAAAATTAAAGGAAAACAACAACATCAACACCATCATCAACAACAACAACAACAACAACACTTCTAAACACTCTCGCAAATCAGGGTTCGGGCCGGCTAAAACCATCTTTCCTTTCACTGCTGGTGCAACAATCCCCAGGGAGGAAAGAAAGAAAGGCAAAAAAAAAGTCAACACTGTAGCAAGAAACAGAAAGTAAACACTGTATAGGAGAATCCCAATTATTTATGGTTCAAATAACAAACTAATAAATTTGTTCAGTTGCATACGAATAGTAGGGCACTTGACACCACAGAGTCCTTACTGAATGGCATTTATTTGAAAACATATTTCCATGTGGTAAATTTATAATGCTTATTATGCTTTCTGTCTGCCTGTCTGTCCTGAAATAAAAAATTATGAACACAGACTTTGATAGGACTCTGAAACTACTTTTAGCCGTTGGTTTGTAAGTCGTGTCTGTTCTGCATCTTTGCCGATTTGTGGAGAATGGCAATCGTTCAGACGAGGATGTAATTTTCAACAAGGGAGATTTCAGCATCCTCATCAGTTGGAGGAACAGCAACTATAGAAGACTATATAATGGCGAAAGGAAAAATAAATTATGGGAAAATAACGTACATTTTCTTTAGTGATTTATGTATGAAGATTAAAGTAAAATTAAAGGTGAGGACCATAGTAGGACAATGTTTTTATTCGTTTCGTTATATTTTAGTTTAAACTTATTGTAAGTCTTTCATGATCTGAAATAACCATTTAACCCCC